CCGTGCCAGGTGGAGAACCAGGTTCTGAACCTGGTTCGGCAGGAGCTGGCTGCCTTCCAGCACCGGTTCTCCGTGCTGGAGGGCATCGTCCTGCGCCCTCCCCCCCTAGGGGCAAACAAGACGGCAGCGAGGCCGACAACGGTCTCGTACGCGGCGGCCACGGCTGCCGCATCCAGGCCGGGGCCATCCAGCCAGCCCTCGGGCGGGGCTGCAGTTGCCCCTCCCCCCCCTTAAAAGCCGGCTCCGGCAAATCCGGTACCGGCTGAATCGGCTCCGGCTAAGCCGGCGACGGGAAAGAGAGGCAAAACGAAGGCGAAAAGGGGCAAGGCGGCAGCACAGGTGGTGGCTGCACCAGCCCCAGTGCCTGCGGCGAATGTGGCCATGTCCGAGATATGTGACGTGGCAATGCCCCGCGTCCGGTCAGGAAGCGCCCGGCGTCAGGTGTATTGGTGGTCGCGTGAGCTGACGTCTCTGCGCGAGGCGTGTGTCGCCGCGCGGCACCTGTACGCCAGGCATCGCAGGCTCCGCATTCGTCCACCGAACACGGCACCATTGAGGCGGAGCTGTACGAGGGATACAGAGCGGCGAAGACCGCCCTTCGGGAGGCTGTCCTGCGGGCCCGGGATCGGGCCCGTGAGGAGATGCTGGAGACTCTCGACAGAGATCCGTGGGGGCGCCCTTACAAGATGGTGCGGGATAAACTCCGCACCTGGGCCCCCCCGCTGACGCAGAGTCTCAGGCCCCAGCTCGTGGAGGACGTGGTGAGCGCTCTGTTCCCTGCGCGAGGAGAACATCCGCCCCCGCCTATGGCTCCGCCACCTGCGGTGCCGGAAGCGGACCACCAGGACGACGACGACGACATCCCGGAAGGGACCGGGGTAGACCTGAGAGGGGCGGTACGTAGGCTCAAGGCCAGGAATACCGCCCCAGGACCCGATGGCTTGCCTGGCAAAGCCTGGGTCCTGGCCTCGGAGGCTCTCGGGCCCCGACTGGAGGGGCTCCTAGGCGCATGCTTGGAGAGAGCCAATTCCCGCTTCGTTGGAAGACGGGGAAGCTGGTCCTCATTCGGAAGCCGGGGTGCCCTGCGGACTCTCGGGGGGCCCGTGGTGCTGCTCGACGAGATGGGCAAGCTCTTTGAAAGAGTCATTGCAAACCGCCTCGCCGAGCACCTTGCGGGGACGGGGCCGGATCTTCTCCGATTCTCTGCGGAACACCAGTTTGGTGTTCCGCAAGAGGCGCTCTACGGTGGACGCCATCATGCGCGTGAGAGCCCTCACGACGGGGGATGCAGTGGCCAGAGGGGGGTTGTCTTGGCGGTGTCTCTCGACATCGCCAACGCCTTCAACTCCATGCCCTGGAGCTGCATTAGGGAGGCACTCGGTATCACCGGGTGCCGACCTATCTCCGTCGTATAGTCGGGGACTATTTGACGGACAGGGCCGTCATCTACCCCGGTCGCAACGGTGAGTGGAACCGGCGAGAGATATCGTGCGGTGTCCCACAGGGTTCGGTTCTGGGGCCACCTCTGTGGAACATCGGTTACGACTGGGTGCTGCGCGCCGACCTCCCTACCGGCGTCAGCGTAGTTTGCTATGCTGACGACACGCTGGTACTGGCACAAGGGGGGGGAGGCGGCGGCGGAAACTATGACACGCGGGGTTGCGATAGTCGTTGAGAGGATTCGGCAACTGGGTCTCGAGGTGGCTCTGCACAAGTCCGAGGCCATGCACTTCCATGGTCCTCGGAACAGGCCACCACCGGGATCCTCAGTGATGGTAGGAGGGGCATCCATCGGCGTCGAGTCGACGCTGAAGTACCTAGGACTCGTCCTCGACGGCCGATGGAACTTCGTTGAGCACTTCCGACGTTTGGCTCCCAAACTGGAACGGCCCGGGGCTGCCTTCAGGCGGCTCCTGCCGAACCTGGGGGGGCGAAACGCCTCCTGCCGGAGGCTTTACGCGGGGATCGTGCGATCCATGGCCCTTTACGGGGCCCCGGTGTGGGCGCGTGGTTTGGCGCGGCTTGCCGTCCACCACCTGAACGCGCCCCAAAGGGTGGTTGCCGTGAAAATGGTTCGCGGCTACCGCACGATATCCCGCGAAGCGGCGAGCCTCCTTGCCGGATTGCCGCCATGGGATCTGGAGGCGATAGTCCTCGCACGCCTGCACGAATGGCGCGCGGAGGCACTATGCCGGGGGGAAATCCCGCTGCCGCGGCAAGTTGTCGCGCAGCGGACAGACTTCCGGCACGATCTCATGGCGACATGGAGAGAGCGACTGTCGCAACCCCGTGCTGGGCACGCCACTATAGCGGCGATAAGACCCCTCTTTGAGGAGTGGCTTGAGAGACGCCACAGCATCCTCACCTTCCGCTTGACGCAGGTCCTCACCGGACACGGTGTGTTCGGGAGGTTCCTGCACCGAATCGGGCGGGAGGAAACGTCCGGGTGCTCCCACTGCGAGGATGGACCGGAGGACACGGTGGAACACACCGTGGTGGTGTGCCCTGCTTGGGCGGAGCACCGCCGTGTCCTCGTAGCGGCGATAGGCGGCGGCGACCTCTCGCGTCCGGCCCTGGTCGAAGCCATGGTCCGGAGCGAGACGGAATGGGATGCCGTCACCACCTTCTGCGAAGCAGTGATGCTAGCGAAAGAGGTGGCGGAGCGGGAGAAAGAGAGAGCAGCAGCTTCCCTCCCCGGCCGCCGCGGGAGACGCCCCGGGCGTCGGGGGCTACGTCGTGGCCCCCGGCCACCGTAGGCGCGGGCCTCTGGACGGCGAGCAATGGGTAGCTCGCCGTCCGTCCGTCTAACGACGACAGGCCGTGTCGACGGCGCGTTTTGTTCCACGCGCGACTCAAAGAGCTGTCAGCAGTGTGAAGGGGCCCGCAAGGGCCGACGCCTGCCGGGGCTGCGGGCTGTTCGAAAGAGATACTGCGGCTCCGGAACGTAAGGGCACTGAAGGAACACGGATGGTTTTTAGTCAGTAAAAGTCTGACACTCCCTTACGCTCCACCCAGAGCGAAAGGCGTCATTAGATGATTTTCACTTGTCCGTTTTATTGTTAATTTAGTGGACATGCAGGTTGCTTCAATTTTACTAAACTTTTCTTATATTGTTAAAATTAAAGACATGACAAAATTCCGAGGATTTCCCACCATTCAAACTATTTTCATCAATTACATCACGGCAGTTAAATAAGTTTATTGAAGTCGGGACAAAAATTTATACAGATTGTTTGACATTTGTATTCGCATCACGAGACGTTTCCATTTATAATCCAAAGCTAGGCCGTTTACTGTCAGCTGTGACTCGGTGAAGGACCCGGCCGATTTTAATACTTTTGTCTGATCGTGCATAAATTAATAATAAGTATAACTATTCATTGTCAACAAGGGTAGACTAAAAGCATTTAATATATAAAATTTTGTGCAAGTAAATGCGTGAAAGATAGTTTCATATTTCACGTATTTTCTTGCATAATTCAATAAAAAAATTTTTATATATATATATATATATATATATATATATATATATATATATATATATATATTCTTCGATATTTTACAGTTTAGTTAGTATTTTGACTGTAACATTGCAAAACGTAATTATTTATTTCAGGGAAACTACTTCTTTCTGACGAGTTTCCATATCAATAGATTTGAAAGCAACCCTTACGTCAACCTTTATAAGAAAATCGGCATCAGAGTTTGTTAAAAATATACGAACTGAATATACCGCACCCTGACAGCTACTTATAGTGCCAAAATCTAATATAATAGATTAAAATTTTGTCTTAAGGATAGAGATTATGTGCCTGGAGGCTAACTTTGAAGTTTGCCGCCGAAATATGGATATAACGACAGATACAAGAGGGGTAAATATTCATGACCCATATAAGTTTAAAATAAAATTGTGATTTCATTTCTAGAAACAGGAAGCATAAAATTATATAATTTTATAATGTCACTCAGAAGTACTCTGCCATCGTCTTCGGTAGACGCGCTTGCAAGATCTTTAAAATATTGAAGCATAATTCTCTAATTTCCGCAAGCTAGGCCATTCGAAACTAAAGTGCCTTTTTAAGAATTTTACTAAAGTTACATAGAAGTAGCTGGCAGGTAGTTGTAACCATTGGAAAGGATTGAGCAAAGGACACTTCTGATGAAGGCTTTCAAGACACTAGAGATTCCAAGAAGCTATAACATCATCTGAGAATAAAATACCGGGTACATTTTTTTAAATCGTCATTCATTACTTTTGGCTCAACTAATCTTTTAATCTGAGGTATCAATTACCGTCCCATCGGACTATAAGAGAGGGAATAGAGAATAGAAAGGGAGAGTGAACTTTAGAGTGTCTAGAGTCTCCATAGATAGTGACTGCCGTGACCGAAATTCGGTCTTTGGACATTATGATCTAAACTAAAAGTAACTTATCTATCTAAACACCGGTTTAGTGTATTTTATACTGTTTATATTGTGGCTTTTCTCGATCTCGATGAAACTCAACAAGCATTCTTGACGCTATACCGCAGACTGTGGATAATTTTATTTTTTAGTTTATTTCATGTATTTAACATTAAATTTCTTTACAAGTAAATAAAGAGCAATAAATGCAAATACAAGTTTATTGACTATTCATAAGTGATATTTTATGGGTGTAGAAGACAAATTATATAGCGATGTCGTGGCGTAAGAAAATTCACGACCCCATAGCATCCCTTGGATGTCGTAAGCGGTCGCAAAACAGGACACGAAAGAGGATAAGGAAACAGAGGCAAAGGTAACACAATGTAATAAAAAAACTGAGATTGACAATCTCCATGGGGAGGCCGATGTTAAGCAGTGGAGTTTTGCCAGGCTGTAATAAGTGAATGGTGCAAAGACAGAGCTAATCAGTGAACTTCTACAGACAGACAATGATGATAATGATAATATAAGACTGTCGCTGCAAAGATTTTCAATCGATGGATGTTATCGATTTAAATATGTGGAATACTTACTGCAGCATATTGATCTCCGTTTCTTTAACACTTTGCCAGAATCGTTTTCATACACAGTGTACTGATTGCCAAGAGAACAGTTCACATCTATGCATTCGTTGAGACAACTATTGTCGCAGTTTGTATTTATTTTTTCTTCTATTAAACTGTTTAATGAATCACTAGCACTATCTTTTGTAGAGTCACTATCCATACAATTTGTTGAATTAGTTCTTGACGACCTTCCACTGTTTATGGATACTGTCGGTGTAATATTCTCTGACGACATCTTGGATTAGTTCCTGGAAGTATAAATATATATGAAATCTTCCGACACCTTAAATAAAGCATCATAATAGCAATAAAAAGTTCTTATCAGATATTTATAAAAAAACTTCTGCCATTAGAAGAGAATTCATCCCTTATTCATCAACAACAACTATATCATATCATGTTGGATGGAAATGTAATAGAAGGTTGGCAGAAGTGTCTTCCTAATAATAACTAAATTGATAAAAAACTGCGGTTGCCGAACATGGCAACTATGGTAATTATTCCTCTTCTATGGCATAGGCAGTCTACGTGAGAAGCGTTGTTAAGCAATGAACTTTTGATAGTCTGTGATGAATGAATATTTAAAAAAAAAACTTATGTTTGACGACTGCTCGTGCGTTTTAGCTAATATAAACGATGCTGCCCAACTCCTGATTTGTTTTTTCCGTCGCCTTTTACGACATCCACGGGATGATATAGGGTAGTGAATATTTTTACACCGCCAGTACACGGAATAATTTCAATCACATATAACTAAATCTTCTGAGCGTTGTCCGATAACTATATTAGTTTTATCAAATATATATAAGAAAAAATATCAGCGGTGCGTTGACAGCGAAAGAGACTCCATCGCCACTTTTCATCCTCTTGGTGTCTTAAGAGGCAATTACTGGCAATGTCAATGTCAATGCCAGAATGATCTCGTAGCTTCTGATAGATGGTAGTATAACCAAATCATTTACGCTAGGCGTAAAATACTCGTACCGGTGCGCTGACGAGGAGCAGGATAGAAATTTGGTACAGAGGAGTGGAGAAATTTGGTATCGATACTGCGGTCATTAAATCAAATCCTCGCTATAACAGGAGAAATCCATATCCAGAGGGACGTTTATGAACTTATACAAAATATAAATTAAAATGCTTAAGTATGACTAATATAGCTTTTATATTTACGCTGTCGAACTCCTGAGTGAATTTATATTGAAACTCCGGACCGGATTAACTGGAAAAGGTGGAACAACGCTAAACCGAACCAGTTAGTAGTTATATTTACAGTAATAAAACGAATCGAATTTACGTAACATCGTTAATTAACAACAGTTAAATGCGCATATTATTATGTCACACTACACTTGGCACATAATAAATCGCTAATTATTTTAGTATATTTTTCACATTATTAACAAGTAAACTGAATATTCTATGATTTCTCTTTGTGATATTAAAACAAGAGGAAGGATCTGTGTTAACACAGACAATTTTCATCATTTCTCAAAATTATTTTTATACAATAAGGCGGAAGAGATTAGGCTCGATTCTGAAGGTCAACAGGTTATATCGATCTACAATATCCGATAGCAATAGCGGATTCGATATTGCCGTGCGTAGCAGAAAATTCATAGTTTATGTGGTTGAATGAAATCGTTTAGATTTGTATATAATTTCAAACATTGTTTTAATGTAAGACGGAGAAACTTGGTGACTAGGATTTTTACGTGGTAGAGCCACACTACAACTGTATTATGGTAGCAGCACGAACGGGTCGGCTTGACCGGGTAGGACCACGCCTTCACAGAATACCAGCGTGAAAGAGCAGCTTGTGGTCTTTCATCCATACAAACGCTCTCGCCTGTTTTCTTTTTGGTTTGTAACCTCATAGCAACGATTTTTTTTAAAATTAATATCAACTTCCTCTATGTCTCTATGTCCTCTATGTCTATCAAAAAGGAAAGCCTATGATTATGCCATTATCATTATACACAAGAACCCTTACGAAATGCTCAAAATTGTCTATTTAGATCGCTGTAAACAGAGGCATTGTGTTCAATTTTGACAACTAATATGAAAAAAGAAAAACATAGAGACACAGTGTCCTATTCTCCATATAACCTCCTTATTCGGTTTATGAAATATCTTTTAAATTGCTTCTATATTAGAGGAGTAAGTAGTAGAGAGCCAAACCTCAAATTATGCCTTTTTACTTAGGCTATTCAGTCGGATCTCGGATGCACATAACGCACTCGCGCTGGCAGGGCGACAGCGATAGCTTTTTCAATTACCTAATTTACAAAAGTCTTGGCCCGCGTTTCCTCTTAATGCTGCTGTGTTTCGTATGGTGAGTGCAGTGCTTTTTACTGGAAATGAGGCATTCCATGTTAGGCCCTTATGGGTATGCATCTGTATTTTTATTCTCATCAGAGAATAAATTCAGATGTCTATGGGCCACAGCATCCACTTACCCATCAAGTAGACTGTGTGATCGTTTGTCACCCAGTTCTATAAAAAACAAAATATTGATTAAATAGTAAAATACGGTAGAAAATGTAGTTATTAGAAATATTTCTCGAGCCTAATGGAGCAAGGCTGCTCCCCTATGTAATCAATTAAAGGAATTGCTACTGCAGAGCTCCGGCGATATAGATAACAGCAATATTCTATAGGCGCTGAACAGACACAAAAATTATCCCGCTCTACCAAGATGGCAAGCAATTTAGGGATTAAATTTATTATTTCCCTGTTGATCTCATCGACCATTTAAAAAAAAGACATGCGAAAACGAGTGTCTTTTTAGCGGTCCAAGTTCAAACCTTGGCTTGTCGGATCTAATGTAAGGACTTGTTTAACAAAAACTTGACTTCATAACCAAGTTTGTTGAGTAAGAACCGAGTTTAAAGCATCACCATTTTCAAGTACTGTCATCTGTAGAGCAATGAATATTGGGGATTGGATTCTGCCTTGTGTAACACATGTGTCACGGTCGTCGACCTTAATGCCCTAGTTTGCAAGAAAACTGGTCACCCAATTGCATAATTTAAAAGGTGGTTAAGTTACCATGAAATGTTATAAATACAAAATAACCCCTAAATAATTTAATATGAATTGTAAATGTAATGTGTTGCTCACATTTTACACAAAATACTTTAAAGACAGAGTTCAGAACGACGGAGCAAAACCCTTCTTTAAATCTTAGAAATCTCTATAACAATTAAAACTTTTGTCACCCCATGTTAAAAACGAGACGAAAGCGGGAATTTTCTCGAGAATTTACGAATTTCAACTTACGAGTATTACTTAAACCTTGTCTACATAATTTAAATGTAAAAAGGGCAGAATATTTTACTTAGACACAAAATACATTTGTTAGTTTTGGATGGTCCTTGATCTGATTACTCAAATTGCTTTCAAAATACATTTTATTTGAGAAATGGAAACGACTAAATTTCTTTTTAAAAATAAGGAACTTACTGCTATGTACAGCCTATAGAAGGCCACAGTTGCATTTTATACGTGGTAGAGCCATGCTGCAGTTATTATAGTAGTATAGTTGTAGCACGAATGGGTCGGCTCGATCGGAGCTTATATGTTTATTATTTATATAGCTTAATGCTGCTATGCTTCGTATGGTGAGTGTAGAGAACCGAAGACCCTTTTTACTGGAAACGAGGCATTCCATCTTAGTCCTCACGGGTGACAACGCATCTGCATTTTGATTTGTAATCGAGAATAGATGTAGATGTCTATGGTCCGTATCACCCACTTACCATCACAGTGTGCTAGTGTGTTACTCTATCCTATAAAAAAATATGCCTTCTCCATAGATTGCCTCACAGGTGTTATAATTGCAATAGTTGACACGTTTGGCAAGCGGGTTGGCAACCACTGTTTATATTTTATTTTTAGTAATTATTAAGAAGACGTTGCTACTCATCTTCCGATTTGTTTACCTCCGTCTTCTCTTACGACACCAACGGGATGATACGGGCAGAGGATGTTCTTATACCGCCTAAACGGTAAATGTAATACTTAATATAAAAATAGTATTCTATACAGTATGGGATGGTCTCATGCCATGCGCTGGCAGCGTAATTTAAACTATCATACCAATTCGTCCCGTGGATGTCGAAAGGGGCAATTTTTCTGGCTCCTTGGTTAGTGGTAAGTGCGATTATTGATCATGTGCTCCCGGGTTCGAATCCCGGATCAGACAAAAACAAGTTATTGGGTTTTTCGGTGAGAAAATTCACACCCTTGTGCCTCGAAAAGCACGTAAAACCATTGCACATGTGCCTGATCTCTCTCCGCTAGTGTTGGATTACCGTCCAGTTGGACTATAAGAGAGAGGGAATAAAAATGGCACCTGTGCTTGCGCATACACTCAGGCATCAGTCTCCGTTGAGACTGGCCATCGTGACTGAAATTCGGTCTGGAGGACATTATGATTTCACCCAAAAGTAGTTAAAATTATAATGATACTAATTATGTTAACATTGGGACCTTTCTCGCCAAGAACTTAAAGGTCTTAAGACCTTTAGAGGCAAATATGTGTAAGGTCAAAAAGTCAGAAAGACCTTATGACCTCATTGATATCACTTGTACTTTTAATGTGTGCGCGATACGTTTTTTGACTGGGCATGCAGAGCGATACCAAACCACACTATAAAAATTTGCAGTATCTTATTAATATAAGCAGCTCAATACAAAATGCTCAGCTACAATAGAAACTGAATTTTGTCGGGTCAAACATTAGATAAATGATAACGGTCTCCTAAATACTTTTATTAAATCAATGTTATGTGTAGTACCATTTATTCTTACAGCACTACAACTGATGTATCCCGCTGATTACTTCTGACAATACCTGTAAGTAGTCGACGCTGTTTTAATTAATGAGAAAACTTTATTGACATTTACTTTTTGTAAAAGAATTGATTCTCCTATTCAGAACTATGCAAGTTTAATAAATGTTAGAACTCTGCACATCCGTCAGCGATGCTGCTTGTATGATACCACGATCGCATTATTGTATGAAGATACTCGTATAAATATAAAATGTATTTCTAATCGGACGGTATCTATTAAGGTCAGTTTCACACTAAGCCCTTTGCGTAATGGTACGAGTAGTATGTTAATTTAGGTCCTTGACCGCAGTAAAAGTCAGCGGCCTACGATTGGATTATTATTACTTGTATAAACACGACACTAGTTAATTACTTATATATTAGACACTCGGCAGTG